CTTCATCCTCGTCGTCGCCGCCGCCGCCCGCCCGGCCCTGGTCGTCAGCTTCCTCGGGAGAGCGGCCTGGGGGCCTGAGACGGCGGCGGCCCCGACCCAGGCCTCGACCCCCAAGACCGCGAGCTCGGAAGCGGCCTGCCGGTTCGGGCAGCCGGGGAGAGGAAGAGGAGGAAGAGGACGAGGGGGCCGCAGACGACGGGGAAGCCGAGGAGGAGCCCGAGGAGGAGGAGGAAGAGGAGGAAGACTTGATCGATGGCTTTGCCATCGCTAGCTTTGCCAGTCTTGAGGCCTTGCAGGTGTGTCCTGATAGGGTTTGGGGGTCTTTGGGCGGAGGGTCAGAGGGCAGAGGAGGACACAGCCGTCAGAGTGCCTGGGGTTGAGGGGGCAGTGGTGACACCCCAAACCAGAGCAACCGGCTCCTCTGGCCTGGCTTCTGCCCCACCCAGGGTGGGAGGAGGTAGAGCTAGTCTCTGGGGACTACCTAAGTTACCCTGACTGAGAGGCATTTGACTAGCTTGGTCACCCTTAGAGAGTTGGGGAGCTTTTCCTTCTCCAACCACTTCAGTCCCACCTCCTCTTCTACAGAAGGATGCATCTCTTCAGCCCCCAGAGCGACTGGAACATCGGCTGAAGCATTCTGGGAAACGGAAAAGGGGGGGCTCCAGTGGGGCCACTGGGGAGCCAGGAGACAGCTCAGATCGTGAGCCTGGCCGGCCCTCTGGGGATAGGCCCCGCAAATGGCCCAATAAGCGAAGACGGAAAGAGGTGAGCCTGTCCCAGATCCCAGTCTTCCAAAATTCCTCTGTCAGAGTATCGTTCATGTGGATTGGTTTTCCATGAGCATCGAAACTGCCGTCCTGAACAGTAATCACGGTTTCTAAGAGCAGAGAGGAAGGCAGAGCCGACTGGACAGCAGCCCTCTAGTCCGGGCCGACAAGACAGACTACGGTCAAACTCACTTGCTTTGACTTGTGCTGTGTATACTACAAACATGCCGATAATGCAAGGACATCAAAGACACTTAGTTGAATTATAAATAAATTAGATGTCCCTGCCCTTCCCTCTAGCTGGTGGCAGCCTAGGGAGAAAGAAACAGTCGACAAGCAAACACCTAGACCATGTTGAGCAGCTGTACAAGGCAGTGATCTGGGAAAGATCTAGAAGTGCTGCAGAAACCCACATGAGGAAGCCACTCATTCTGTCTGGGGGATGGGCAGAGGGTTGTGGTTAGGGAAAGCCCCCTAGAATGTCTTGGGCCCCAAAGTAGACTCAGAAGTTTGCTGAGGAAAGAAATGAAGAAAAGTTGTTTTGAACAAAATGTAAGACGTGAGAACCTGTTATATTATGAAAGTGGTAAGAGGTTGGGAATGGAGGTGGGAAGTACCCGAAGAAAAAGCTAGAAAAAGTGGTTGAGATTAGATTTTAAGTGTCCTTGAATGCCTTGCTGGGAGTTGCGGCTTTATAGTTTCCTGGCCAGTCGGCCTCCCTTACCTCTGGACTCTGGTCTTCCTCAGGCTTTCTCCCGTCACTCTCTGGAAGCTGGATATATAGTAAGTGCTGTCCACCTAGCATGGCCCTTCCCTTCCCCTTGGGTCCCACTCCTCTTCTGTCTCCTGATGTCTCTCTCTTTCCTTCTCAGTGTGACGCAGAAAGTGATCTGGATGAGAGGGTGAGTGGGGCTGGAATTGTCGGGTGGGCATTGCTACCGATGTTAAAATAGTCTGCAGCTTACAGAGCCTGGACAAGCAGCAGACATCCTTCCCCTGAGTGGGACCATGGGTTGGTTATGTTGAACCAGGATTAAGTTCTGAGGAGGAAGGGAGGGGAGAAGGAGGTGCTGGGGTGAGGGGCGAGGCCACAGTGTGTGTCAGAGGACAGCTTTCAGGAGGCAGTTCTCTCCTTCCTCCATGTAGTCCCAGGGGTGGGACTCAGAGACAGCATCAGGCCTCCCGGCAAGACCTTTCCCTGCGGACTGGTCCTGCTGGCCTGGCCCTGTTGTTTGGTTTGGGTTTTTGTTTGGTTGGTTGATTGGTTGGTTTGGTTTTTGTTTTTCATTTTAGTTTGTGTATGGGTGTTTTGTCTGCATGTATGTCTGCATATCACCTGTGTGCAGTGCCTGAGAAGGCCAGAAGAGGGTGTCAGATCCCCTGGAGCTGGAGTCACAGACAGTTGTGAGCCTCCATGTGGGTGGTAGGAGTTGAACCTGGATCTTCTGGAAGAAGAGCCAGGGCTCTCATCTGCTGATCTGTTTCTCCAAACTTATACTCTTGCCCCTCCACCCGTTGTTTTTAATGGTGGGCGTGGCTAGGTAACCAGAGAACTGAAAGTTTGCCTATTGGTCTAGCGTCCTTCTCAGAGCCTTTGAAGCCTTTCCTAGCTTTCTCCAAGAGTCCAAAATGAGTCTGGAACTGAATGCTCCTCCCTCTGGCCATCAGGTCTGTCTGTAGAATTTGAGTCTTGCAGTGAGAGCACCAGACCATGGTTGATCAGTGTAGGCACTCATCCTGGAAGGGTCTATTTCAGTTTCCTTCCTCCCCCACCCACCTTTCAAGACAGGGTTTTTCTGTGTAGCCTTGCCTGTCCTGGACCTAGCTCTGTAAACCAGGCTGGCCTTGAACTCACAGAGATCCACCTGCCTCTGTCTCCTGAGTGCTGGGATTAAAGGCGTATACCACCACTACCCAGTCTATTTCAGTGTCTTATTAGTAATTTTTGGAAAATAATGTGCCCTTGGAGGTAATGTTCTACCTCTTTATTCCTATAAGTAGCTACATTTATATACCCTAATGTGTGTGGATTTTTTTCTCTTAAAGTTTTTAGACAGGGATTGTGGTGAGCCAGAGGATTGTAGTCCACCTAAGGGGTTGGTCACTATCCAGTTCTAGTTAATTATTGTCACATGAGAATGGGGTGGGGGGCCACTGTCAAAAGGCCCTTAAGTCTGTTTTAACAAGGACTCTCCAGATCTGAGAATATAACCAATTCAAAGATGGTGTAGAGTTTTGTTTTGTTTTGCTAATATTCACAAATCATACAGATTTCCAGGCCAGATAGTGTTTTTTAAAGATTATTTTATTAGGCTGGGCGGTGGTGGCGCACGCCTTTAATCCCAGCACTCGGGAGGCAGAGCCGGGCGGATCTCTGTGAGTTCGAGGCCAGCCTGGGCTACCAAGTGAGTTCCAGGAAAGGTGCAAAGCTACACAGAGAAATCCTGTCTCGAAAAACCAAAAAAAAAAAAAGATTATTTTATTAGGACCAGGCATGGTAATGTACACCTTTAATCTCAGCACTCAGGAGTCAAAGGCAGATAGATCTCTGTGAGTTTGAAGCCAGCCAAGGGTGTATAGTGAGACTCTGTCTCAAAACAAGCAAAAAGATTATCTTATTCCTTTTTAATTATGTATATGTGTCTATACAAGTGAGTGCAGTGCCTGCAGAGGCCAGAGGCATCAGATTCCCCTGAAACTGGAGTTACAGGCAGTCGTGAGCTATTTGACATGGGAACTAGGAATCTAACTTGGATCCTCCCTAACAGCAATACCAGCTCCTAACCACTCAGCCATTTCTGCAGCCCTCCAGCAGTCAGTCTTAGCTGACATAGCTTTGATCTGCTCTCATCTCTGCCATCCCTGCCTGGCATAGCAGATTTTTGGCCTCAGTGCCCCACTTCCTCCTTTAAGCCCCCTAAAGCCCACATTCCAGTGGATCATAGCTAGGCTGATGAAATAGACTTGCTACCACCACCAGTTCATAGCAGGCTCCAGAGGCTTAATAACCTACCCTTCCTCTACTTTCTCTCCCAGGTCTCCGATGATGACCTCGACCCTTCCTTTACTGTCTCAACCAGCAAAGGTTGGTCCTAAGGGCTGGGATGAAAGCATGAAAGGGACATGGGTGAGCATGAACCTCTGCTGAGCATGTCTACCATCCTGTCCTCACTCACAGCCTCGGGTCCTCATGGCACCTTCAATGGGAACTGTGAAGCAAAACTCTCTGTGGTCCCTAAAGTGTCGGGCCTGGAGCGGAGCCAAGAGCAGCCCCCAGGGCCCGACCCGCTGCTAGTGCCTTTCCCCCCAAAGGAACCACCACCTCCACCAGCCCCTCGGCCTCCTGTCTCATCCCCTACACCCTTACCAGCTACCCCCAGTCTGCCACCCCCACCCCAGCCCCAGCTGCAGCTTCGGGTCTCACCCTTCGGCCTCCGAACTTCTCCCTATGGCAGCAGCCTGGACCTCAGCACTGGCAGGTGAGTGTATAGGGTCTGATCTGATCTGCCAGAGCTCCATTCTGTGATTGGGACGTGGAGTGAGTCTGACTTGGGAGAGGATTCTGAGATTGGAAAGTTGGAGTGACATTGGGGAAAATAAATGTAAAGAGATGACTGCAGGGCTTAGCTGAGCCCTTTATACAGTCATGTACAAGGGAATTCAGTTTGTGCCTTTTCGAAACTGTGTTTGCTGGTGTGTAAGGCGCATCTGCTACAGATAATGTTGTTGGGAACATACTTGGGGAAATACTGACGTGATGGTTACCAGTGCTGACTTTGGTGTTGGTCAGACCTAGATTTAAATTCTTGCATTGCCTAAACTTACTGGCTATATGATTTTTGACAATCACTTGGCCTCTTTGAGCTCAATTTCCTCTTATGAGATGAAATAATAGTACTTTTTCTTAAAGCTGTTTTGGGGGTTGATTCTAAGTGAATGCAGTGTTTCCCAAAGTGTGTACACTCGTCATTAGCGGGACATGGAGTGATTTCAGGTCTTGGTTTGGTGAACTCTAAAATATTTAAAGTTAGCTGCTTTAGGAAAATATGATTAATACCTCAGCTTTTTGATTTAACATGTTACTGCTTAGGATGAGGGCAGAAAAAAGTGAGTTATGTTCTAGAAAAGGAATTGGTATAGTACAGATGGTTGCATGGCTACAGTAACACTGGGGAAGGAAGGTGATGCCACATGCTGGAGACCTGCACTGGCTCCTAAAGCAGAGGCCAGCAGTTGCCCCACATACAGTAAGTACTCACTAAAGGGTAAGCAGAGTTAATGACACTGCTGTGGGTTCCTCACTGTTGTTTGTCGTCGTCATCATTGTTATTATTGAGAAAACTAAGGCTCAGAGAGGGGCAGTGACTTGCTCAAGGTCACCCAGGGTGTTCGTGGCAAGACGGGCATAGAGTTCAGGCTACCTGATTGACAGGACAGGATAATGTGGTGCTGCTTCCGCTGTCTGAGGGTGGGAACTTTGGTGGCCCATTGTAACTAAGCATCAAAATGAATGTTCTGTTCTGTGCTGTGCTTTAGTCAGAAAAGGGGAAGTCAATGGCAAGACATGACAGAGGCATCTTTGTGAAAGCCAGATCTAAAGAGGAGAAGGGGTTGTTGGGTGTGGGAGGCATCTTATCCTGAGACTGGTTCTCTGCAGGGAGTCCCTGGGGGCCAAGTTCTACCATCTCCCATATTGGAGAACCAAGGCCACAGCATCACCCAGGCTTCTGACCCACCTCCTGTTAGAGCTAGCACCTCCCACCCCCTCACTCATCTCCCCACTTCTCTCCCCAGCTCTTCACGGCCGCCCCCCAAGGCCCCGGCCCCTCCCGTGGCTCAGCCTCCCCCCTCATCATCCTCTTCGTCCTCCTCCTCCTCATCTGCCTCCTCCTCGTCCGCGCAGCTCACCCACCGGCCCCCGACGCCCTCACTGCCCCTGCCTCTATCCACCCACAGCTTTCCTCCCCATGGGTTGCGCCCACCACCACCACCCCACCACCCCTCCTTGGTCTCCCCTGGCCCCACCCTGCCCCCACCCCCACCTCTGCTGCAGGTGCCAGGGCACCCTGGGGCCTCAGCCGCTAACGCCCTTTCTGGTGAGTTTGGGGTCCTGGCAGGGTGGAGTGGTGGGGGGCCATGGCCCCAAGCATGGGCTCAGTTGGCTTTGGCAGGGACCAAGGGCCTTTGGAGGGAGTGGCTCAAGGCTAAAGGGAAGGCCAGTCACCTGGGCCCAAAGAGGTTGACTTGGTGGCACCAGATATTAAAGCCTTCTTCCCCTCCCCTCCCACAGAGCAGGACCTGATCGGCCAGGACCTGAACTCTCGCTACCTGAATGCCCAGGGTGGCCCTGAGGTGGTGGGGGCAGGGGGCTCGGCCCGGCCCCTGGCCTTCCAGTTCCACCAGCACAACCACCAACACCAGCACACCCACCAGCACACCCACCAGCACTTCACCCCCTATCCCCCGGGCCTGCTGCCTCCCCACGGCCATATGGTGAGCTCCTCCTTGGGCTGCTGATGAGGCTCAGAGGCCTAAGGGAGGGTGTCTCCTGCAGGGGAAGGAGGATCCTGGGTCCCTGGCTGGCAGCTTACTCTTCCCTTCTCTTCCCTAGTTTGAGAAATACCCAGGAAAGATGGAAGGCCTTTTCCGACATAATGTGAGTGTGTGTGAGGGCGTGTGATGTGTGGGAATGTATGCATCAGTGGAGTTCAGTCTTCCACTCCAGAAGCAAGAGCCCTGAGCTTGGGAAAGCTCTTTGGGGGTGTTAGGGGGGATTCCAAAGATGGGTAGACCAGACCTGTGCTGCACCTCCATTCCCTGCTTGGACCAGTGCCCTTCTCTCCACAGCCGTACATGGCCTTCCCTCCCGCTGTGCCCGGGCTCCCTCCGGGTCTCCCGCCAGCTGTCTCCTTTGGCTCCCTGCAGGGGGCCTTCCAGCCCAAGGTGAGCTCCTGACCCAGAAACTACTACTTCCCATCCCTTACAGACATCCCGGACCCGTATACCTTCCTCCCGTCCCCAAAACTGTGTCTAGCCTCCTGCCCTTCCTTCTGGACCCAGGTTTTTGCAAAGCCACGCTCCCTCTCCTGTCCCATCACCCAGCTTAGTTTTTAGACCCTTTAACGTGGCACTGGCTCTCCTGTCTGACCCCTCCACTCCCCTTTCCCAGAACACGAACCCTGAGCTGCCACCACGACTGGGGCCAGTGCTGAGCGGGCTCCCCCAGAAGGGGGCACAGGTGAGGGGCCAGGTCAGGCCCTGGGGGAGTCGGAAGGTATATTGACTAGAGGAGGGTGAGTTCCTGGCTCTTCCCTGCAGTCCACCCTCAGGAGCCTAAGGAGAGAACTTTTCTAGAACCATCTTCTCGGGCACGAGGAGTAAAAGGTTAAGGACAGTGTCCCAAGAACACAGTAATGAATGGGGCAGTAGGTTTGTGTTTGGGTTTTGTTTGGTAGTACTGGAGATCAAACTTCGGGCTTCATACATGCATTCTACCACCGAGTTACATCTCTAGCAAGACAGTGGTTTTTGTAGTGGTTTTCAAATGTCAGTCACAGGATTCCCCCTACCCCCCAAGTGGCATCATACCAGGAAACAATGAAAAGATAAACTTATAAAGTGACCCGAGTCATTCCCCTGCTCCCCACGTGTCTCAGATGCCAGCGCTCTGAGAACACTGAAGAAAGTATGGAACATGTTTCCTGAAGGATAGACTAAGTTTTCTGACTTCCTCAAAAGGTTCCCTCCCCTAAGGATCCCATGCATGAAGCTGTTAGAGGACAGACAGACTGCTCTCTGGTAGAGAAACCTGTCCTACCTAGCCATCCCAACCGGGTACTTCCCTAGGGTCTGGCTCAGAAACCTGATGTGGAAGGAGCAATGCCTGGAGTGGAAGGAGCAATGGGAGGGGCTGTCACACTGCTGAGTGGTCTGAGGGAGCCGTAGTCTCAGGGAGATTGTGGGAAGGGTGCTGCTGTAGAGATGGGACACTCAGGTCAGTGAAGAGGTCTGAATCGCCTCCAATCTCTCCTTTACCATCCCCAGATCCCTGATCATTTCCGGCCACCTTTGAGGGTGAGTTTGGTGAGGATCTCAGGCTGCATGAGGCTGGGGGCTGGTTTCAGGGTGTTTGGCTGAGGGGGGTGGGGTCCTGCTTGGGAAAAATGAAGTTGAAGATGTGAAGGCAGCCAGAAGTAAACCAATAGAAAGGACAGGGCTTTGAAGTCACAACCTGGGCTTCGATAGAACTGGCCATGGGACCTTGGGCAAAGCAGTTGATCTCTCTGAGCCTCAGTTTCCTAGGCTTTAAGATGAAGCTGGTCATCCCTCAGTTGTAGGGATGATGTTGAGGATGCTGTGTGGCAAAGCTCAGCCCAGGGCCAGGCCTGGGATGGGTGATGAGTGAACATTTTTCCTTCCCTTTCCCTTTGGTCATCCTGGGGCGGCAGAAACCAGGAAAGTGGTGTGCCATGCACGTGCGTGTGGCTTACATGATCCTGAGACACCAGGAGAAGATGAAGGTACTGGGCATGGAGGGCTAGGGAGAGTGGGTCTGAGAGTCGGGGTGTCTGAACTCTGGGTAGTGACCCTCCACCAAGCTCAGAACAGTTTTAACAAGAAGCCTTTCCTCCTGTCCCCATCACTGCTGAGCGGTTTTGTAGCACCTGGGTTCTCTGCCCAGGTATTGGTGTGGTTAAAGAACATGCTAAAAGAGGTAGTAGGAAGTACCTAAGTCTCCTTCTGGTACTAGCTAGCCCTTGGAGGGAAACTAGGGGTAAGAGTGAGAGTCAGGGACAATCAGTCTAAGAATAGCATAAAAAGGAAAAAAATGGAGACCAGACCTAGCTCCTCACTGCTCCTCTCCCTATGTCCCATGCAGGGGGACTCCCACAAGCTTGACTTTCGGAACGACCTCTTGCCCTGCCTTCCAGGGCCCTACGGGGCCCTGCCCCCTGGGCAGGAGCTCTCCCACCCGGCCTCCCTCTTCACTGCGACTGGTGAGTCTGGCCAGCCCTCTCATAGCCTATAGCCTATGTCCACCTTGCTCCCACTCATCCTCATCAGAATCTCCCACTCTCTGCCCCAGGAGCCGTCCATGCTGCAGCCAATCCTTTCACAACAGCTCCCGGGGCCCATGGACCCTTCCTGAGCCCCAGCACCCACATTGGTAAGAACCAAGAGAATTTTGGGCTTCCTATGCCCTGTTCTTAGTAACAGGAAGTAGAGATGGAAACCAGACCTAAGAGACAACTCAGGTTGGGTAGATAGGATTTGATTTGCTCTGTGACCTTAGGCAGTCACTCTCCCTACTCTGGGCTGTGATTCCCTCTTCTGTGGAAAGAGTCTGGAAGGGCAGGATGGTTCCCACTCTGCTGCTGCTACTTCTGTCTCTGCAATCGCCAGGAACTGAAGACAGTGTTCCACCTGGGAGAGTGGAGGAGGAGGCTGTGCAGGCCTAAGGGGGAGAGAGCATGGTTATTGGCCTAGGGGACTTGAAAGTTTCTTGGGGTATAGGTAGGCAAAAAAAAAAATAAAAAAAGAGTTGAACCCAGATAATGGTGTTTCTGGCTAGAAGACTGTGGTTCCCATGGAGGGGTGGGCTAGTTAACTAGTTAATTCTGACAGATTAGGATTTGTGTGAAGTTAGAATCACGCTGAGAAGGTATTACAGATAGGGTGGCGCCAGGCTAGTAGTTTGCTATAGAATTGAGAGCTGCCAAGAGGTCTTGGATACCTGGAGTGGAGGTACAGATAAGAATTTGACTTTTAGAGTTAGAGGTGCCCCAGGCTGGTGGTACTTTACAGCTAGATGACTTTCAGCAAGTCACTCCACGTCTCTGAGCCTGTCTTGTCATGTGAAAGTGGGAACTGTCCTTTTTACTTAGAGATTGTAAAGGGGCTAAACAGCAGTGTCTGGCCTGGCACAAGAGCTGCTCCGTCCATGGTGTTATAACTGAGTCACTAAGAGCTGTCATACGTGCCCTTAATCCCAGCCCTGGGGGAGGTAGAGGGAGGTGATGTCTGTGAGTTCCAGGCCAGCCACAACTATGTAGCGAGACCCTGTTTCCAAGAACAAATACCAGAACTCTAAGCCACTAAGGGCTCCGGCCTCCTTACTGACCTGCCTCTTTCTCACCGTTTCTCTGGGCCTGCTCTAAGTTCTGACCAGTTTCCCTTTCCGCCCACAGATCCCTTTGTGCGTCCCACAAGCTTCGCCTCCTTGGCTGCCCTCTCCAACGGGGCCTTTGGAGGCCTGGGCAGCCCCACATTCAGTGAGTGCTGGGTAGGGTGGGAAGTGGGGGGTGGGCCTGTGACAACGGGCTGTATGCTCCTGCGGGGCCTGTGCGGTTATCTCTGGAGTGTCCCTCCTGGCCCCTGTCACTTTGTACTTCACCTTCTACCCAGACTCCAGCGCCGTCTTTGCCCAGAAAGAAAGCCCAGGAGCCCCACCAGCCTTTGCCTCCCCACCAGACCCATGGGGCCGCCTGCATCGCAGCCCTCTTGCCTTTCCTGCTTGGGTCCGACCCCCTGAAACTGCCCGGACACCGGGCTCAGACAAGGAGCGGCCTGTGGAGCGAAGGGAGCCCTCTGTCACCAAGGAGGAGAAGGACAGGTATGTCCTCCACGGGACTGCAGCCCCTGCCCCGCCCCACCCCACTGCAGGGCTGTCAGCCGCAGGAACTCCTTCATTCTGTCCCCTTGTGCCTGCCCCCTCCCCCACCAGGGACCTCCCTTTCTCACGGCCCCAGCTGCGAGTTTCTCCTGCTACTCCTAAGGCCAGGGCTGGCGAGGAAGGAGCCCGTCCAGCCAAAGAGTCTGTGCGGGTAAAGGAAGAGCGGAAAGAAGAGGCTGCTGCCGCCGCCGCCGCTGCTGCCGCTGCTGCCGCTGCTGCAGCCGCTGCCGCTGCCGCTGCTGCTGCAACCACTGGGCCTCAGGGCCTTCACTTGCTTTTGGAGAGGCCCCGGCCACCCCCTTTTCTTGGTCCTAGTCTGCCAGAGCGCTGTGCAGGCTTCCCAGAGCCAACCTGGTTGGCAGGGCCCCCACGCCTGGCCAGGCCACCGCGCTTTTATGAGGCAGGTGAGGAGTTGACTGGACCAGGGGCCATGGCTGCTGCCCGCCTCTATAGTCTAGACCCTACTCATTCCCTGCTATACAGCCGTTTGGCTCCTCCTCCACCACCTACTGCGACTCCAGGAACCCCTCACCTTCTCAGCAAGACCCCACCAGGAGCCCTTTTGGGAGCACCACCACCTCTTGTGCCCGCCCCTCGGCCCAGTTCCCCACCTAGGGCCCCTGGCCCAGCCCGGGCTGACAGGTGAGGAGAGGTGAGGGGCAGGGGCAGAGCTCCACCCCCTTTCCCCATTCCTTGTGACAAAGTCCTAGGGCTGAAGTTTTTAAGCCAGGGTTGGAAGGCAAAGGTCACAATCTCATGGCCATCTCTGAAGTCATGGACCTGGGAATAGAATCCCCAACCCCCCCACAAGGTCAAGTATCTTGTGGACTCTGGGGTCACCGGGAGGACAGAGGTCATAAGCCTCTAGAGAGAAGTGTGTGTGTGTGTGTGTGTGTGTGTGTGTGTGTGTGTGTGTGTATGTATGCGCGCATACACGCGCATGAGTGCATGAGGGGTCATTTCAGAGGTTATGGCTCATGACTTAAGGTGCACCAATGCCCCCTCTAAGGGCCTCTAGGCCCTTGGCCTGCCTCCCCAAGGGCTCACTAAGCCAGAGGCCAAAGTGCCCCCGCTCCCTTTCACCTAACACCCAAATTCCCATGCCCTCCTAGGGCTGAGGAAGGAGGAACTAAAGGAAAAGGGGTTCCATGTACATATTTATCACCCCTTCCACAAATCCCCCAGACCTTTTGTACATTTTTACAGGGGTGCCCCTCCCAACAACCCTCTTCCTGGTTAATTAAATCCTCAGACTGGTGCTGTGTTCCTAGCCTCTGGCCTCTCTGTAGGGGGAGGGTGTCCCAGGGGAAGAGCCTGGAGGGGACAGGCAGGAACCCAGGGCTTGACCCTGGGTATGTAGGGTCCAGCAGGAGGTAGACCAACAGGGAAAGGGACCTGGGATCTAGGCTGGAGGGAAGGGCAAACACTATTTGGCTGTCAGCCCAGGTTCCCCCAGACTTGTTCTATTCATTCTGTGTGGCCCACAGCTCTAAAAGGCTCAGCCTTCAAGCCTCAGACTCCTCTTATGGCTCAGTCCCTACTGCAACCACCCTATCTCCAAGTGCCCCCAGGACTTCTGGGCCCTGTTCCACAGAACCCTGTCCCAAACTAAGGGAGAGGTGGCCAGAGAAGGTCACCATGAAACACACACCAAAGAAGGGGGTTGGTTCAGGGGTGGGCAACACAGGCAGCTTCTTCAGCAGCCTCCCAGCAGCAGCCCCAGCCTTCCCAAAGCAGCAGCACCTCCAGGCTGGGGCCCAACTAGAAGGCAGGGCTCAGTTTAACAAAACCGGAACTTTGATTTTTTTTTCCCCAGTGGGGCTTATTCTGTAACATGACTTGCGAATATTTATATAAAAATGAGTGTTACAATGAGACACCCCCATCCCCTGGCTCCTCTTTCAGTCTGTGTGAGTTGTCTGGAATGGGTTGGACTGGGTCCTAGAATGAGGAAGGAATGAGGATAATACTGGCCATGTCCTGATGGAGGGTTTTTCCCTCTCCCTCCTACCTGGGGAGCTCTGCCACTTCTGAATGGGTGAGTTGGTTAATGATGGGTGTTGACTTTTTAGATTCAAACAGTGCAGAAAGACATTGAACCATCCACAGGGGTAGTCACTATCAGTTATTTGGTGTGTGTTCTCTTTGTGTTTATCTGTGCATACATGTTAGAAAGACCCATAATTTTCACAGATTATCATTTTTGCCAAAACAACATTGTCACTACAAACACATGAACATAAAGTACAGAGGGAAAGTACCTCATAATCCCAGCTGAGAAAACCTGTTTAAAAAGCCAGCTGTATGGCTGGGCATGGTGGCGCACGCCTTTAATCCCTGCACTCTGGAGGCAGAGACAGGTGAGTCCCTGAGTCAAGGCCAGCCTGGTTTACAAAGTTGAGTTCCAGGGCAGCCAGAATTACACTGTTAAGACCCTATCTCAAAAAAAAAAAAAGAAAAAAAGAAAAGAAAAAAGCTCTGCAGGGCAGAGCATGGTGGTACATGCCTTTAATCAGGGAATCCTACTCTACATGGATAATTAGGGGCCAGCCAGAACAACATAGTGAGACCCTGTCTCCAAACAACAACTCTTTCAGGGGAGCTGGGTTTAGTTGCCAGCACCCACAATGATTCACAGCCATCCATAACTCCAGTTCCAAGGGATTCATTGCCCTCTTCTGGCCTCTTGAGAGCATCAGCTGTGTGGTGCAGAAATACATACACAAGCAAAACACTAATAAATTTTATTTAAAAACTTAAGCAAAAACGTAGTAAAAATTTGGGCTGGAGAGAGATGGCTCAGCAGTTTAGAGCACTTGTTAGTCCTGCAGAGGACTTAGGTTTGATTTCCAGCAGGTCTGTAACTTCAGTTCCAGAAGATCCATTGCCCTCTTCTTTTTTTTTTTCCCCCAGAGCTGAGGCCTGAACCCAGGGCCTTGCACTTGCTAGGCAAGTGCTCTACCACTGAGCTAAATCCCCAACCCCCATTGCCCTCTTCTGATATACATGTGTGCATGGTACACACAAATCTTTGCAGGCAAAACATTTGTACACATAAATATCTCCCCCCCCAGACAGGGTTTCTTTGTGTAGTTTTGGTACCTATCCTGGAACTCGCTCTGTAGACCAGGCTGGCCTTGAACTCACAGAGATCTGCCTGGCTCTGCCTCCAGAGTGCTGGGATTAAAGGCGTGCGCCACCACCGCCCGGCAACTATAAAATTGTTAAAGCTCTAAGTGGGGGCACATGCTTTTAATCCCAACACTTGGGAGGCAGAGGCAGGGGTTCTCTGGAGTTCAGTGAGACTCTTGACTCAAAAGGACAAAAAACAAAAGCCAGGCGTGACGATGCCTGTGACCCCACACTTGGTGAGCAAAGGCGGGAGGAGTGATTGCACAGGTTATGTAGCGAGGCCCAGCCCCAGGGAAACGAACTCACTGGCAGTGTTTGCCCAGCGTACGTATGTACGCAGAGCCCTGGGATGGAAAGGTCCTCAGTGCCTGTGAAACAAGTCGGGAAGGTACACTGCAAAGGTAAAGAAAGTTCGAAACTTGGGGGTGTATGGGGAGATTCAAAAAGTCTAAAACTACACACTAATTCTGATGAAAACCACTGTTTTCAGGCCTTGGTTCCTCCAGTTATTTTTCTGACTGCTTAAAATATTTTGAAAAATGAGATTGAACCAGTTTTGAACCTCCATATTATACTTGGCTTGTTTTCCATGTTTCATGCATGGTCTCACTAGGTATCCCAGGCTAGCCTTTTGTCATCCTGCCTTGGCCTTCCAAGAGCTGGGATTATACACTTGGGTCACCATACTTAAGTTTAGTAAAATACCTACCAGACTATATCCAACCTTTCCCAGGTGTTTTTCCACATATACTTCTGACATCCCAAATGGGGTCCTTATATGTCTGATTTCTACCAACCCCTCTCTGTTTCCACCTCACCAGCACCCAATTCAGAGAGCTCCCTTTTCCTCTTACCTTGATTTCAAGTCTGAGCTGCCTTTTTTTCTTTAAACCGCCATTGACTTCATCCATTGTGCCAGGCCCTAAACTAGTAGCGGGGGCAGAAGTAAACAAATCCCAGCCTCCCTGGCACTTGGCATTCCATTATGAGAAAAGAGCAACAAACACTGTGAAGAAAATTAAAGTACTTTGTGCATGCCTGGTGCTTCAGGAGGCCAGAAGAGGATGTCAGATTCTCTGAAACTGGAGTTAGGATGACTGTGAGCCTCTATCCATGTGGGTGCTGAGAATGCAAAGAATTTAAGAGCTGCCTTTTTTGTCTAGTCTCCTGGCCACCATTCCCATTGATTTCTCTTTGCCAGCTTTGATCCATGCTCAGGGCAACTCCAGAAAGAATTAGTAACATTTAGGGAAAACTAGGCCAAAATTAGTTCCCATAGAGGGGCTGATGTTAGGAAATGGTTTTTTCTAGAACTACCTTAGCACACTAGCTATTAAGAATATCAAGATGCTGAGCAGTGGTGGCGCACGTTTTTAATCCCAGCACTGGGGAAGCAGAGGCAGGCGGATCTCTGTGAGTTTGAGGCCAGAGTGAATTCCAGTTCAGCCAGAGCTACACAGAAAAGCCCTATCTTGAAATACAAAAGAATATTAAGAATATTTGGGGGCTGATGAATTGGCTCAGCCGTTAAGAGCACAGGCATGGTGCATACTTTTAATCCCAGCAGTCCCGAGGCACAGGCAGAGGCAGGTGGAGTTCAAGGACAGTCAGAGATACACAGAGAAACCATCTCAAGAAACGAATAGAAATGCTGCTTTGCAGAGGGCCCACGTTCAGTTGACAGCACCTACATGGCAGTTCAGACTCATCTCTAACTTCAGTCTCGAGACCAAAAGTCTCTTTTGGCCTCTAGGGGGCACCATGCAGGAATGTACAAATACACATGCAGGCAAAACACCCATACATAGTGCTGGGTGTATTGGCACATGCCTTTAATCTCAGCACTTGGAAGGCAGAAGAAGCACATAGACCTCTATGAATTGGAAGCCAGCTAAGACTACAGAATAAGCCAGCAGATTGTGAAACTGTCACAGCAAAATAGCCTCTGTGTGTGTGTGAGTACACGCGCGCGCGCGTGTGTTTGTAATTTTGAATGGGAATAGATGGCTCAGCAGTTAAGAGCACTTGCTACTCTTCCACAGGAACAGAGTTAGACCCAGCCACCCACATTAGGTGGCTCACAACCGTGTGTAACTCTACCTCCAGAGTCTCTGGCCTCATGGGCACCTGCACTCAAATACACATACCCAGATGTACACATACACAATTTAAAATAATAAAGTGTATATATGTAATTTTGCTCCAAGTGTGCTGGCACATCTTTACTCTGAGCACTCAGGAGGCAGAGGCAGGGGGTCTCTGAGTTCAAGGCCACCTGCTCTACATAGTGAATGCCAGGCAAGCCAAAATTTAAAACAAAACCCGCACATACATATATACATCTTATTTATTCTTTTGAGACAATCTCTTCGTAGCCTAAGCTGATCTCAAATTTTCAATCCTTCTGCCTCGGGCTCCCATGTGCCACCATATCCAGCTGAAATCTATATAATCCTCAATCTTGGGGAGCTGGATTTTTTTTGTTTTTGTTTTTTGATTTTTGTCTTTTGAGACAGGGTTTCTCTGTGTAGCTTTGGAGCTTGTCCTGGAACTCACTCTGTAGACCAGGCTGACCTCGAACTCGCAGGGATCCACCTGCCTCTGCTTTTCAAGTGCTGGGATTAAAGGTGCGCACCACCACTGCCTGGCTAGTGGGGTTGGTGTTTTTGAGACAGGGTCTCACTATTTAGTCTTAACAGGTGTGGTATTTACTATATAGACCAGGGTGTCCTCCATCTCACAAAGATCCCCCCCTGCCTCTTCTTACCCAGTGCTGGGATTAAAAGTGTTCACCACCACGCCTGACATGTAATCTTGAATCCTGAGCAATATACTGTTGTTTAATATAAATGATTTTTTCCATGTGTATTTTTTTTCCTGCATGTATATTTGTGCACCACATGCATGCAGTGCTCCTAGAGACCAGAAGAGGGCATCAGAACCCTGAGACTGGCGTTACAGGTGGTTTCCAGCTCCCATGGGGGTTGGGAAACCATTGAGCCACCCCTCTTGCCCTTGAATGTTGTTTCTATGTTATGTTATTATTTGTAAAATACAAGCTTTTTGTTTTTAGGCAGAATCACTTGTATCCCTGACTGGCCTTGAATTCAATATATAACTGAGAATGACCTTGAACAACTTTTTTCTCTGTGTGTCAAGGTCTCCCACTCTAGCTGACCTGAAGTCTCCATGTAGACCAGGCTAGCCTTGAACTTGTAGCACCACCGTGCCTAGTTTTACAGATCCATGGAAACATACTCAGGGATTTGTGTGCACTATAGACAGGTACTCCACTGACTGAGTTATATACGTTCTTGCTTTGTTTGCTTTCAGAGACTATATGGCCAACACTAATGTTAAACTCCAGGTCTTCCTGCTGCTCCCCTCAAGTACTAGGATAATAAATATATGCCCTTGTTTTAAGCTCAAGTATTTTTTAAAGCAATTTGAAGTGACTGAGGAGATAGCTCAGTAAAGTGTGTACTATGCAAGCTTGAGGACCTGAGTTCAGTTTCAAGAGCCCATGTTAAAAGAGCCATGTGTGTAGTGATCTTCAGGCTAGTGAGAGGCCCTTTCTCAAAAAATGTGATGGTTCCTGAGAAACAACATCAGAGTCTGACCTATGGCCTCCGTGAAAATGTGTATACACAAAGCAAAACAAGTCGACTGGAAGCTAGTTGTGTGTATGTAGTGTACTCATGTAATCCCAGCATTTGGGAAGCTGAGGCAGGAGGATTATAAATTT